CAGCAACTGGATAGGTGATTTCTTCTTAACTCATTATATCTCAAAAATTTATCTTGTTTCCATTATTGTTAAATTATTATGTTATCATTATAAGACTATAGTTTTTTTCTCTCTATTTATAATGTTTTGATCTGGTAATGATATGGTTTTTGTGAATGTCATTTCTCCTATTAGAGCTGGTAGGTTTCTTGCTCGTTCTTCTTATTAGCCAAAAGACGTCCTGAACGAGTAATAGGGAAAAAAAGTTAGACGATTCAAAAGTACTTTTAATAAGCCTATTTGAATGAAGATTATTTTGACTTTGTCATTGTCACGGCATCACATGACTGATTGATTTAGCGGGAAAATTTAAATTTATGAAAAAAATATATTGTTCCTTTCTATAAATGAAAGGAAAAACATACACTTTTTGGAGAAGAATGAATCTAACAGTCTAATATGATCAATGAAAATTTCAAAATACTTTCGCCAAAACAGTCAAATAAATAATAGTTGAATATCTACGTCGTAAAATAATAAATGAAAATTAAAAATAATAACTGAGAACATCACAGCCGGTACGAAACAAACTTAATTCTTTTAACACCACTACTGCAGTCTGCTGCTGTTATAATACCAAGTATCAATTAAATAAAACCTACTTCAATTTATGGAAGTACTGTCTCAAGGGTTCGAAGCTGTTTTAACAAAACAGAACATCTGTACTTCACAACGTTATAACGACTGTAAACAAATAAATTAAGGGACCTAAAAACCTACTTTTTATATTAATAAACAGCATATGGAGTGCCACAAAATAAGGTACATATAAAAAAAAATTTTAGTGGATCAAATTAACTGTACCGAGCAAGTTTTTAACAGTAAACACTTTTTGCGAGATCGACTCTCTCAGGCAAGGTCTTGTCTGGGATCAACGACCTTACTTACATAACTACTGTAATTATTTTTAGCTCCACAAAGTAACATCAGCATATTTTTTACCTTTAAAACAATGCTAAAGGTGTCAGATACCGTTGGGAATTCAAAAATGGAATAGATGTTTTTCTTTTCGATAAATAAAAAGACTTCGGAAAAACAAAAGCCAAACGTATTTTTAGGTTGCTGAATTTCGGAAGATTTTTTTTTCTTGTTATTAGTATTTGGTTATTATCTTTGATTTTTAGGTTCTCATACCCAAATCGTAAAAACGAAACCCCATTACTTAAGCTTCCGCTGTCCGTCCGTCTGTCTGATACCGTGATAACTAAGCATTTGAAATTTTTACAGGTGATGTATTTCTGTTGCCACTATAACAGCAAATACTAAAAACAGAATAAAATAAATAAATGGGGGCTTCCATACAACATGATTTTGTTGCGTTTTTCATAGATTATGTTAAGGAACCATTCGTACCCGAGTCCAATTCGCACTTGGTCGATTTTTTTAGTACCACATCCTATTTTTAGTGGACAAGGTGCTTAAAGAAAGTTATATCTAGGTTACTCCACAACGAAGTTACAGGGGGTCAAAAATGGCCCGAATGGCTTCGAGAATAGATGGTACAGTCATGCCCTTTTTACTTTTTGCTCGACTTAACGAGATTTTATAAAGGAGTTACAGAAGAACGTTTCTCGAATCAAACTTTCCTAATTATGATACAATACAAATTAATAAATTTTGTTAAACTCCGTTAATTAATGCGTTACATAAATTAGGAGTCTCTTAAGAGAATATAAATCATCCTTTTTCCCATATATTTGCACAACAACAATGTTTATCAATTAATCGAGGCATTGGAGGTCGGCCAATCGCCAGGAAGCCATTGTTGTTGCCACCGCGGAGGTACACACATTGTTTTCACCAGTGTCAATGTCGTCGACCGTTATGATATATGACAAGCATACACAATGATGATGTAGTAGCGAAAGTATATATATGTGTACCAGAATCTGATGGCAAAGCGGGAAATTTTAATTTGTAGAAGGCAACATTGGGGAAAAGGGATAAATATGTGTTGATACTTGTAATATTTTTAATTTGATAAACGCTTTTCAATAACTGCTTCACAGCATTTAACATAACGACCGTAATTGCTAGTTACGGGTCAATTCATAAACACACTTTAAAATCAAAAATTTCGTCGATCTTCAGCTTCTCTTCACAAAAAACAATATTTCTCGTTTGAGATATCAATGGCTTTTTGGGCATTTTCACAAAATAAATTAATATTTTCAGAAATATTCACAATAATTTACACTTTGACTTGACAGTTGTCACTTTATATTGCCATATAAAAAACGAGATTTTTTTCTTTTGTTCCTTTGCTATCAGATTCTGACACACCTATACCTACCTGGTTTAAAAGTGAAGTGGGCAACTCAACTCTTTTTACAAGCTTTTATTTAGTTTCATCTGTCTCGATGTTTGTCTTCCTGTAATCAAATCTTGCAAGCTATATTTCACCCACTTTCCAATCTCCGTTTGAGCTGGAATTCGAAATGAACATTTAGTTCTGATGACAATACAATTGTATCTGATCGGTATTATTATAAATTCAAAATGGCTGCGTACACATTTCTGAACACCTACCCAACATGACGAGCTTAACTTGTAAAATACAATACCTATAAAAACTTGTTTTAAAAAACTCTTAATATTTTTTTTACTTTTTCAGCTCAATCTTTCTTATATTATAATATATTGAGCTTGTGGGAATTGCCTATAAATTTTTTTCCATTATCTTAAAAATAATTATCTGGTAATACCGCCTTAGCCCACATTAACTAGAAAATGTGTGCAATAAAAAGTCCGTCTATCTATCTATCTATTTGCAATAGCCTCTGTTATTAAACTAAGATACTCCTGCACTTTCAGCAAACGCCGCCACTACTTGCTTATTTAGCAGAAACAGCTTCTCATTTTTATATGTATGCGTGCTTACTGTGTAAAAGTACCTTTCACGCAAAAACTGAAGTTTATTTTCTACGTTGACCCTACCGGCAATCGAACGCGGAAACTCAGAGAAGGCGACACCCTGAAACAAGGACACGAACCACTGTTTCTAAACTAAAATATCGATATATTTTCTTTTAAAATAGTAGTAATAGTGTACACTTGTGTACACTAGCACAGCCTTAAAACCCGTTTCGAAGAATAGTTCTTAAGCCGGTACGTTACTCCTTTCTCCATCAACCTTGAAAAACGGGATGGGTAACAATCGCATAAGCTGTATGCTATACGCTACTTATTAGTTTTATGAAGAGTATTAATAAAATTGTTATTCGGACTTTTACATGATTAAATCACTGATGTGTATTTCAATTGTTGTGGAGATATACATTTTTATATGAAATCATTGCTAACTTCATTTTTCTTTCATAATTTACAAAGTATTACTTTCTAAACCAATGAAAATAAAGGCTCTACATTCGCTACATTTTTCTGCCTTTGCTTTTATTTGTTATCATTATTTACTAACCGGTATAATTAACGCCGCTTTTATCATACGGGATTCACAATTTTAGAACCATTGATAATTTTGTATATATAAAGTGTAGAGTGAGCCTTTCGACAGTGTTACTTTATTTCCATAAGTAATATATCGGCAAACCTAGATCTAAACTAAGACAACTCAAAAAACTAATGTGGAGGTCTGACAATACATTTGTTTACGAAGCAGGAGCGCGACCACTGATTCAACAAAAGAAAGCTAAAGTTATCTAGCGGCTCATTCCCGAACCTTCATTGAATCTGTTATGTTGGACAGATGCGTATGATCTCCGAGTATTTGAATATTGTACTAAGTCAAAACTCACTTAAATTTTTGAGTTGTCTCAGTTTAGATCTAGGTGTGCGATATATACTTGTCAGAGTAACTCATTTAGGGATGCGACCGATTTTTGTCCGTCCGTCAGAAAGATTAAAAAATATTAAACACATATTTTTTATTATATTCATATTTTACGTAACCAATAAATTACGGCGATACAGTTAAAATATCGCATGACGTGAAACAACATGCTTTCGTGCATTTTCTACAAAGCTGTGACGTAGCGAGCCCCCACAGTGGGGACTTTAATGCCTATTGTTAAAATGAAGCAAAATCAAATACGTGATCTGACTGATAGACTAAATGGAATTAATTAAACAAGCACAACTATTCTATTTTTATCGAGCGCTAGATTAATTTAATAGTTTTCGATTTACTAGTTATTAGAAAGGAGGAGCTCGACGACGCAGTGGTTAGCGCGCTTAGGTTAAGCAACTTTCACAAGGGCTGGTTATAAGATAGGTGGCCAACAATTGTCATCTGGATCTACTCCGTGCCTCGGAAATCGTAATGCATTGCGTAATGAGTCATGCATGGCCCTTTCTCTCTATTCTATTTGATTAAATTCTATCCATAGGGAAGGCCTGAGTCCCAATGCTGGGAAAATGGGGACACTGATAGGCTGACGACGGGTGATAAATGCGAATGGGTGGTTGTTTATAAAACCTTCTTCCGCACTGTAACAACGAAGAGTCGTTATTGTTTATTTTTTTGTGTATAAAACCGAGAGTAAACGTGACATTATCTTTGAACACGTTCAAGTTCGTGATACCTATATAAAACTAGCTGTTTTCCCGCGACTTTGTCCGTATATGTAGCCTCTTCACTTACGTGTGATGTAGCTCCCCTTAGATGAAAGACTTTTTAAAATCGGCCCTGTAGTTTCTGAGCCAATTCAGTGTAAACAAACAATCAATCAAATAATTCCTTTATAAATATTAGTATAGATTAATATATAAGTATATTAGGCTACCTCACAAAGAGTGTTCAGATTCCAAAATCGAGAAGAAGAGAAGCCGAGGTCCTCGAATAATAAAGTATCTGAAATTCAAAATCAATGACCAGATCCAAATCAATATAGAAAAAATCATTATCTACATTGACTTTTTGTGATTCGTTATAAATATTGTCACAATATTTCTAAAACGTCATATTTAATAGCTGGCGTCATCGTTACAGTTAGGCTGCCGCAACTCGCGGGTGCCAAGAATGGCAGCAACACCTTAAAACCGGCGTACCAGCCAGTCGGCTACGAAGTTATTAGTAAATATTTAAATAAGTTTCTTTGATTTCAGATATGTTCGGGGGTCGGTGCTCGCGCCGGGATCCCAACGTGGACGCCTGCTTGCTGCGCAGTTTTAACTCCCTACTAGAATACCTCAAAGGAGGAGCGCCAGAGTTCGATATAGAAGAGGTCAGTCTTAAATCTTTCAAAAACCTACAGCCAGAAAGAGCAGCTCGCTATACACAATGCGGTACTGATCCTAAGACTAATTTATGGTAATGGGAATGCAATGCTATCTAAAACTACCGGATAATTCGAAACATCATATCCTTAACCGAAACTGATATAACAATTCTCATCTAACCGTATCCGGAATAACATATCTATTACATCCATGTTTGCTCCTTGATTTAATTTCAATTTATCTTGAAAATCACTTTTTGAAAGGCTTCATATACATTTTTCTTTTACGACTCTTCAATTGATGAATTTTAGAAACATACTGCGCTATAATTGAAACGTGAATCATGTATTCCAATTAAAACTTTAGAAAAACCTGTATCTGCATTTGCAATTTTGTAAAGTTGTGATAAAACACTCAGCTTAGTTAAGGCTATAAGTGTATTAACTTTAACACTTAGCTATCACATCACCAACTTATTAATGATCCCGCTGCTGGAGCAGAGCTTCCCTATCTATAGGCTTCCCTATCGAAAATCGAAAAATAGTCCGTGACCTACCACGTGAGGATTGGTAGTTATTAACGACTGTAGATGCAGCCAGAACCAACGGCTTAATGTACCTTCCGAAGCTCAAGATAATAAATTTTCGGTCACTCATCCTTTGACTGACCATTGCAAAAGTTACTCTCGCATCGCAGATTAAACGCGCTCATCGCTGTGCCACTGACCTATAGTATGACTTTAATAATTTAACGGTCTTATGAAACATATCTGATTACAGGCTGAACCAATAGTAATAGACGAGCTATCTATTGCCCTGGGCAATGGCCCAGATGGTTACAGGGCTACCTTCAAGGACATTCACACTACAGGTGCTTCGAACATGACAATAACCAACGTAAGGTAATAGCAAACTTTTATAATTATCATCGTCAGCCTATTATTGCCCCACTTCTGGGCCTTAGGCCTTCTCTATGATTGAATCCAGTCAAATCGAATAGGGAGAATGGGCCGTGACCCACGTGGCCCTGTGCCGATTTGTGGGTGTTAACCACTACAGATGCAGCCGTGACCAACGACTTCACATGCCTTCCGAAGCACTGATTTTTTTTGGTCACCCATCTTATGACTTTGCGAAAGGTGCTTAACAACCGTATCGCAGAATGAACGTGCTAAATACTGCGCCATCAGGTTCCTAAATTTTGGACGATAGAAAATCTCTTTAGAATGTAAAGTCCTAAAAAATTAATACACATAGCAATTAATTTATTATATGCTTTAAAAGATTTGCATATATTCCGTACAAAAAAATACGTTCGGTTTTCAATAAATCTACACTGTGTAAGAAAATATTTAGAACACTGATCTTTTCAATGTTCCTTTATGACTCTGAATACTGGACGATCCATTGAGCGAATGCAAGAAAGTCCACGCATATTATTTGAGTACTTAACATACCTTAGACGGCAAGAGAAAGAATGCATCTTTTCTTAATCAACTGAATGTCGGAACCAAGTTATCCACTATCTTCTACTAAAGAGTACTCAGTTATGTTGGTCATATAGCTAGTAAAGAGGCAAGCAACATAAAAAATCTGGTTGTACTCGAAAAATGGTTGAACTGAAATGAACGATTTGAGAAAGGAAGAACTGGTATATAAAAGGACCGAGACTTTTTAAAGAAGGACATAACCTTCAGCAATGAAGGGAGCAACTTTGACTGATTGAAGACTAATAGCACTGAAATTGACACCGATCCTTCTGCCTTGAACGAAAGGATCTGTTAAAAACATCTCATTTCACCAAAAGAATATGCCTAATTACGAGTAGTTTCGTTTAATGAAAGTTCCGCGACATCTTCGTCAATAGTGTATGACTGCAAAATTACACATCAAGCTTCATCAAACGAACAATAAACTTTTTATATTTTTTATTAACGGTATAATATTTATCGGATATTCATGTATTCAATGCACGTCGTTGTTGACAAAGAATGTATCTTTTGTACGAACCGGGGTTAAAGGCTTCGCAGCGATGAGACATCACAACAGTTATTCATTCTTCAAATGTCTGAGTAAAGAACTAAGCACGCGATAACGTTTAATATCGAGATTCCTATAGCACCGCGTTTGGATTTGCCTTTGTATTGCTATTTATATTTTTTTCTTCGCCTGCGATATCAAAACAATTTAATTGTTTCTATTCTTTTGTTACACGTCAATTACAATCGATTTGTTTTCAATGTCGAGACATCAATGGTGTTTTTTGCTACAAAGATATATTTAGAAGATACAAAATGAACTCCTATTTTGAAGCCAGATAAGTTTTTTAAAAATACCTACTTACTTACAATATATATATAGAATAGAATACCATAAAGAGAAAATACTTAATAGCATTCATGGCGTGGCAAGGAGTTAAACAGGGATGGCCATTTTCACCACAAATTTTTATTAACTTTATAGACCAGGCAATAAAGCAACTATTAGATTTAGGTAAAGACGGCTTAAAGTTAATGGAAATAAAATACAATTTATAAGATTTGCCGACTATGTAGCAGCATTTGCAGTAGATGGTATTCAATTACAAGATATCATAAATGAAGTGCATCACTCACGTATTTGAACAAGCTGGACTGACAATTAATGCAAAGAAAAAAAAATAAAGACATCTAAAAAGAAGCCAATCATAAAAAATGAGGTTAAACTTAATAACGTAATATACAATAGGTAAATATATTTAGATATTTAAGGAATTTAATTATGTATTACTGCAGGTGCACTGCAGATATAATCTCAAGGATAACAATATCTAATAGGACTTTCAATAGCAAAAAACATCTCACTAAAGCTAAGATTAACAAAAAACGCATTTATCAGAGGTCACGTGATTGTTTGCATTTGGAGCAATACATTTATTTATTTATTTGGACCACCAGTGAAAAATTACAATAAATCTTACATTAATCTTACATAATACGATTGTGAAACGTGGACATTAACAAAAAGAGATAGGGAAAAGTTCTTCACTCTCCTCTTTTCCCTAGTTGCAGCTATTTTGAACAAATAAAATAAAAAGTAAACGTCGTGTCGTACCAAGGAGTCAAAATCACAGCCGAGGATAGGGAACAATGGAAATTGCTCTACCGGCAAGAGTACCACTCTTAAATGTTATGTGTACAATATATCATACAAATGTATTAAAAAAAAATACTTCTTATTGAACCATCAAAAACGTCATTCGAATACAAAAGCAATATGCAACTTAAACGTGATACATATAGTTGCAAACTTGCGTTCTAACAGAGGTGTCCTTGCATTTGGAGTACTCGTAACAGGGCAATGACATAAAACAGATTATTTAATCATTTCTGAACTAAACAAAACATAAGTGATTAAAGAAAACAGTTTATGTTAGGTACTACCTAAGTCTTTTATCCTAAGTGCCTCGTTACGTAGATTCCAACAAACCTTGCTTATTGCCATCTTGATGGCACTTATAAATGAAATTTCAGACATTATCCGCGGTTAGAAGACAAGCACCCATCAAGATGTTTTTTTAGAACACTAGTTTACAAGCGTGTGAAACACACTTTACTTGAAAAGGAGCACAACTATTGTACCCAGATATACCTACTATTTGAGAATGTGTTTGCTTTGTTTTTATGACATGAATGATAGAAAAGTAAAAGCTTTTTTTCCTTTGAGATTTTTAATTTTAACCAATCCAAGATAACAAATTTAATTTAAGATAACAGATATTAACTCATTATTACCTAAATTTACAAGAGTATAAATTAATTGCTCGTATTGTATTACATGTGATTACGAAATTGCTAAAAACCCTCATGCTACATGCAGGAGATTTCTGTGTGCGACAACAGCCAATGAAAATGAGGTACAGGAAGCCGATTCAATGCAAACAAAGAAGCCTCTCCTTCATATAGTATTGGTATAAACGACGGGGACTATCTCGTTTTAAAACTACTATTCAACGCAGGACAACCTCCGTAACCAAGTGGTTCGCACGCAGATTACAAGGCGTCCCCATCTCTGAGGTCTCGAGTTTGAACTCGAACTTCCTGTCAATATAGAAATCAACCTACCATAAATATTTTTAAAATTACGATTAGGATGATTTTTTTTTCTAATTATGATATTTAATCAATTTTGCATTCACATTCACTATACTGGAAATTCTCTGAGATGAGACTCGAACCCACGACCATTCTCTATCCGGGCGTCTGCTCTAACCACTGAGCTACCCAGGACCCAACAGGACTGACGAATTTTTCAAACTCGAGACTCAGACTCGAGAGAATATAGAAAAGACCATTTTCTACATCAACCCGACCGTGTGTCGAAGAATGTTGTTAAATATTCATTATTTATTTGTAGGTCTGACCTGGAAACGCACCAGTTCCAGCTGACGATGTTCGGACCGCACATAAGTGCTCGCGCGCGGTACCGCTCCTCCGGTGTGCTGCTGCTCGTACGAGCCTCAGGCGGGGGCGACTACTGGGGTGAATATGGTAAGCTACCACTATGTTATTCTAACAAGATTAATCAGTTTTTTTCTTTCTTGTATATCCTTCAGTATATTTCTAATGTCCGTCACTAAACATAGGAGTCGCCTAAATATTTAGAAATCGCCTAAAGTGAAAATGCATTTCACCAAAAACTAGGAACCACCTAACCACTTTAAATATGTCTAAAGTTATGACATGCGTTATGCGGTGTCTTGCGCAAAGCATTTACGTAATATGGCAAATCACAAATGTGTCAAGGGATAAAAGAAAAAATGTTTATTTAGAATTAAACTTGTCTACTTAGGTGATTTCTAAGATTAGGCGTTTCCTAGTTAAACTAAGCCTTGTTCTAGGTTAGTGAAAAGGGTGTAAGTGTTTATAAGAAAAAATATATACTACATAAAAGTAACTATTTTGTTTGAGCGTGAATGATCATTAGCAGCATCCTAATAGAATAGAATACCAATATAGGAATAGAATAGAATACCCAATGCGGATTAGTACGAATTCACGACTGCAGATGCATCCAAGACAGCTAAACATGCTATACGTTTCGAAGCATGGGAACTTGGGCATCGGAAGAATGTCCTATTATTGCATCAGTTAAGTAACCATAAGTTGTCATTAGCATTTAGATTGTCATTATAGCAAAAAAAATACTGTTGACAGATGGAGTTAAGGCGAAGGTGTACTTCCGTGGAGTTCCATACGAGAGAGACGGACGGACTTACTTGAAACTTCAACAACTGAAGCTAGACTTCTCCGTGAGAGACATTCAGATGGGTGTCGAGAATCTTCACAACAGCAACGCAGTCTTACGTAAGTTCAGTTACAACAAAGCAATAACATATCTATAAGTGATTCCTGGAAAAAGTTTCCTGGCGTCAGATCGGTGGCATCATTTTTGTTCACTACATGTATAAAATCCAAAATAAAGTACTCACATATGTACTTTTCTCGGGAATATATTCACTCTGCCATACATTAGGTAGAACAAAAATCATTATGAGCAAATTGTGAAAGTTTAATAACTACAGCGGTGATATGTATGTCATGTCTTAGGAGAGGTTGTTGCCTATTATGATTGGTACACTATTTTACACTTAAAAGTAAATAAGTTTTCTCTCAATATTTACCTTTTAACAAAGTACATTCTGCTTTACCACTTATACTCCCACCGTTTTCCTATGGCTGCGAGATAAGCGAGACCCCAGATGCATTTTATGAGTTGATTTATCATTCTTGAAGTCGATAATTTTATACAATAGAAAGAAACAAACAAATGCTGATATACATGTCGTGGCCATATCGTAGAATTGATCATTTCATGATCCGGCCGGCCATTTTATGAAATGTTTGTATTTCATGGTATCCAAAAAACAATTAAATTGGCTGAAATAGCTTATTTATACATTACTGTTATGATTGACTTTGTGGTCTAAAAAATAACCTCGAAATTTAATATAAAAATCTTAAATTTTTAACCTATCACGTGACCTACAGTAGTGAATTATATAGGAAATTTAGTTTAGTTCATATCTTAAAAACTTTTATATCCTTCAATATATTTTTATCAGCCTCTGAAACTAGATCAAAATGCTATCTTTATCATAATCGTGCAACATATCGATACAACTATAGAATAGCTTTTGCCACCGCACCTTCGCACTACACTCCTATAATTAACGTACTAAACTTAATCAAGTAATTGTTATCCCTTGCTTGGTTTCCCTGACTTCAAGTAAAAATACATCAACTCGCGTAGCATGACATACTCGAGAACGTTTTTTCTACTCCCAATTGTCACTTTTACACACAAAAGTACGATATCTCACTCTCGACCCGAGAAAGTGACATTTGAGTGTAGACAAAGTGTTTCTCGATTTTGTCTAAATCTAATAGGACTTAGATTCGGGCGAATCTAAGCCCGAAGTCGAATTCACTCGGTGTCCTAAGTCACTTCAAAAAGCGGTTTTCGCTCAATTTTGAATTGGTAATAACGTTTCATGGCACAAGTGAATGGAGTTTGGAAATAACATAGGAAAAGCATATCTGAGACACGTATATTAAATCAATTTTGTTTTATATTTTTATATAAAAAATGGAGTCAATAGAATTTCTACACTAAATGACGTGAATTCGAAATGGGTCTGGACATAAATTTACAGAATCGCAGGGCAGATACTGGCATATAATGATATGCCGCCATTTCTTAATTTGGCCATATCCACCGTATCGTTCAAATTTAAATAATAATTATAAGACTAGTAAATAAAAACTCACTATCATTATTTTTAATATCACATTTTTCGTATGCTTGTAACATCGCCATCTTTCTCACACGTAAATATACAGCGGGTAGCTCTACATCGCTTCCGGTGACGAGAAACGGAACTATACTACAATGCACCCAGCCATGTCACGATGTGCCCAAGTTATTAGTTAGGCAAATCGACAAATACGTTCCTGACGTTGATCTGATAAATTTTATAACACAGTTCGTGTTTTTCCTGGCCAAATCAAGAAATTGTAGCGTATCGCGATAATCCCAGGCAGATCTCGATCGGGTCAATTTAACGACACATACACTAAACCAAAATACGTATCATACGTAGCTCGGTGGCGCGGCGTAGTGGATATGCGCCGCGTCCTGCGATTGTTGTTGTTAAGCAGCTTTCGCAAGGGTCCAAAAAATTATAATATCGAGCTACTCCATGCTTCGGAAGGCACGTTAAGCCGTTGGTCTTGACTGTATTTGCAGTCGTTTCTACCCTCCAATCTGCATTGAACCAGCGTAGAGTCATGGCCCGTCCTCCTTAACCATCCATAAAGAAAACCGTGCCCCTGCAGTGGGTACATAAAAGGGCTGATGATACACCAAAAGTGAATTACTTTATTTGTCAAATATTAATTTACTAACTTAATTGAACAGAGGCGGCATTGAATCTGTTCATCAACAGCAACGCGCAAGAGCTCTTGAAGGAGATGAAGCCGGAGTTGAAGCGAGACCTCGCGGACAAGATGTCGCGCTTCCTCGAGAGGATCCTGCAGCACATTCCGTACGATGAGTGGATCGTAGATTAAATTCACTAGTATCTAAGAAAAATTCTAGAATTACGGAGGTTTGAAGACGTCTTACCCGAAACAAATCTCAAACGCAGTAAACATAAATAAATAAAATGTGTGACCAATGCCTAGAAAATTATGATTTTCTTAATTTTTTCTTAATATACCAATTCAATTTAAGTCTTGTTCCGCACTAAGTAGAGCATTACCATATTAGTCGGTAATTCCGAATAGTCCGCGTCCGCGTTCTAAACTTAACAGCCTATTTTAAAATACTTAAGTAGCACGAACCCAAGGCGATCAAACTCTAAATAGACATTTCTCCAAAAAGGTGATATACCTACTAAATTATTGCGACTAATCATAGTTAGTGGTGCGTATACTGCTATAAGTAACCACTCTCTTACAAATTTTTATTATTTAATTATAAGAAATATACTCGTATACACTATAAATAACTTTCTTTGAATAAAACTATTTTCAACGTGTATATCGCGTTTATGTTTGATTTCATAACGTTTCGGACCCTTTACATGTTCTGTGCTACTTTAAAAAGGCAGTATATTTAGTCTTAAGGGTTGTGCAACAGAATCGCTACCAATGCGTGTTGTTGAACACCAATATCTCTTACAGTCATAATCAGTAATATTAATCAATGCACAAATTTGACAAAGATATTATAAATAACTTTATGTAATACACGAGTTTTGACAAGAAATATAGCAATGTATTCTAAATTTCAACGTAATAGAAGTTCTTAAATAAATTTCAAATTACCTGTGTCAATCAGAATAATGCAAAACTAACAAAACAAATATTTATTAAATAACAAAATAATATGATGAATATGAAATAAGTAAGTGATCCAATATAATCAATGCTCTAGGTAGAGAAATGTCATTTTTACTAGCTATTAATTTATTTATTTAGATGAACCTATTATGCAATAAGTTTTCCGTAGCGTCCGTTTCATAAAACGGTTTTAGTCTTAGTTAACATTGTAATGTAAGTTGTATAAATATAACATTAAATTTGTGATTAAAAACTTTTTTGTTGTTATTCGATTATGCTTCTAAAAACCTATATCATACCCAGCCAATGATACTCTTTAGTATTTAAATACTTACGTATGAACATTACTTCTGAGAGTCTATTCTATTTGTCTTCCAATGAAAATTCGGAAAATTTCGGATAGTTCTTATGATTTTATTAAAAATTATATCTGTATAGTAACGTGTATCAGAGGCAATGTTATTCCTACCTCCGTTGCATCACTCATAAAGTATCGAAAATTGTTTCTTTTTTAAATTGTATTTTCATTTCAAAAATAGAGGAAATTCCTTCATCGGAGAAATGAAATACACCTTAATTCTTAGTAGTAGGAATAACATTAGCATGTAAACAAATTGGGTTTTTATTCCTTAACAGACCTGTGATCTGTCACATTACGCAAACGCCTAGCGCAAGACGCGGCATAATGCATATTATAATTTAGGTGACTCCAGTTTTTAGGGAAAAGCCGATTTTTAAAAAAGGAGGAGGTTCTCAATTCTACTGTATTTTTTTCCTGTTTGTTACATCATAACTTTTTACTGGGTGGACCGATTTTGATTTTGAACGATTATTTATTTATTTGAAAGCTAATGATTGCCGTGTGGTCCCATTTCAATTATAGCCAGATCTGGCAATGGCATCTATGAGAAAACCATATAAGTCTTAAATTTGCGTTAAATATGCATGATGTTTGTTAAACCAAAACAAAATATCACTAAAATAAAAAAAAAATCTAAAATGTGTAAAATAATATTTATCTTAAAAGCGGTTAAATTTTTTAAAGTCGGACGGTTAGTATTTCATTTACTACAGAAAACCTCAGCCCAACTTCAAATATTCTTAAAAAAAATACCGCTTTTAGATAAGTATTATTTTTCGCTTTTCTAAATTTGAAGTCGATTCCGTTTTTTTTTTAAGTTTTATAAAATCGAATTGCGATACATCGGGAACTGTATCGTGTCTTGTCCTGTTTACTACTTCGACGTACACTTTATTATTAAAGAACGTTGATTGTAGATTTGACGGCAGTGTTACCAAATGTCGTTTATCCGCCAAAAGACATTTAAGAGTAATAAAATCAAACGATGTATCGCTATTATATTGTTAATATGTTGTATGCTATAGGTAGAATGCTAGGCAGTCGCACCAGGACAGACGATGAAGCAGCAGTCTGCGATATATAGAATTTATGAATACAGCCTTATTATTAAGGAATCACCTAAGCTGTGATTTAGGATATATCGAAATTTGATTTTCAAAATCCAACCCCTGCTTTAACGTTTTGAAGCAGTCATACGAAAAAACATACCTACAGATATAGAGTCAATACGTATTTAGATATGTCACAAGTCACTCGCAATCATATTATAATAAATATAAAAAATACAATAGCAGCAGCACATAGCCTAAGGCATTAAGTCCGCCAATGTACTTTTTTGTGCATGAAGAATTAAATAAATAAATAGCGCGCTAAGTCGAAAAACATGACGCTGGGGAAAAGTTTTTAAAAGACAAAACGAACCTATATCTTAATTAGTCATGATATGGACTTGAGGTTAATCTAATAATAGATGATGATGTTGGTACATGTGTTAACTAATGGCATATCAAAACATCTCGTATGGATACGCATTTAGCTGGTAGGTTAAGCATTGCAACACGGCGATTGATGAGCCTCGGACGCAAATATCTTTAAGTGGTTATATAAACAACAGACTGCAATCTTTACTATATTCGAAGATTATGTAACTCCTATAGCGCTTATAATCTTGTTTTCTTTAAGTAGATATTACGTAGAATTGTATAGTCTTCGTATTAGCGATATCTAAGACAACGAAGATATCGCAACACCCAGACTCCAAACAATATACAATAGTTCATATTAGTATCAGTTTAAGTATTTTCGAATAGGAAGCGCTGAAAAGAGTTGTTTGTTTCGGGAATTGTTGTCCGGGAGGAAATTTTGGCTCCCACCGGCCCAGATAATGTGTATAAATAAGTATTGCTTAATATTTTATCTAAAATTTTTAATGCACCATTTATGTTAGACAAAAACTAATATTTATATTAGTTTTTGTCTCACATAAATGACAAAATTCTACCGCGGGCCGGATTTAGCCCGCGGGCCGCCATTTGCCCAAGCGTAAATTAGTAAGTTCAAAACAGTCAAGTTTCGTAGAAAATCAGCTGTGAGAAACGGACAAATAACCAAACGTATAAATGTACAAGTTTTTACTTTTTTAGTACGAACACCTAAAAATACCCAATATAATATAGGTATGTATATTGATGTTGTCAATATTAACTAATGTTAAACATAACATTGAATTTTGAGTGGAAGCAAAAAAAAACCGCATTGAATCTGCTTGCCTTCAAACCACAACAAAAGCCATAGTTGCGCGAGTATTAAATCAGTAATGTTCTAATGAGCGTCGCGCCCTTGACTTGTTTTTACAGGCAGTTCTTAACTGTGCTTTAAAAAAATTTATGAGAAAAATGAATGAATGAATAATAATCTTTAACAACTAGTGTCTTCTCAACTTGCTGGAAAAGCTTTTTGAAGCTCTTGTATGCGCTTATCTCTAAAACCATGTCATTAAATTTATATCGAGTAACGAATATGGATTTATTAAGAAAAATGTCCACGCTCAGTAACTTACTAGTATGTAAAAATTACCTATATTGTGTTTTCGCGTCTGGGGGCCAAGTTGATTTCAGCAAAGCCTTTGACACGTTTATCACTCCTTATTATGTCTTAAACTTGCCCATTACGGTATACATGGGAGTTTGTTAAGGTGGTTAAAACCATATCTAAACAACCGTTTGAAGCGTATTACTCTCAAGAGCTACTCCTCAACCTCCATCTCGGTATTTTCAGATGTTCCCCAGAGGTAACCCTTGGGCCTATGATGTTTGTAGTTTTCATAGATGATCTGATCAGTCGTTTAACTTGTCCGGCTCTTCTATATGCTGATGATCTTAAGGAACTCGCTGATGTTACCGACCTGACTCAGTGCATAACACTTCAAAAGGATCTTGAAATTGTTACGCAGTGGTGGCAATCTAATAATATGTATCTTAACGTGGATAAGTGTTATGTATTTCATTTACTCGGAGGAGTAATAGGCTAGATTGTCGTATCGCTTAAATAATATCATCTTATCAAGAAAAACAAGTGTTAGGGATCTGAGTGTCATTTTTGATGAGCAGTTGCAGCAGCTTCCGTCCACATTATGAAGATATCATAAGGAGGTTAGTAGGAAGTGTCTTAGAGTACTGTTCTCTAATGTGGTCTTCTTATTATAAGGTTCACGTGGATAGTCTGGAGAGTTCAGGGGAGGTGACTGAAATATATTTCATGAAAGCATAACCTGATTAGTTACTCTTAAGGTTATCGAAGTTCGATGTAATGTTCTTGGAGACCCGGTGTAGAAGATACGACCTACTTTACCTTCATAAGTTATTGCATGCTTCTCCTCGCATAAGTTTTAATACGAGACACAAATCGCGCCATCCTAATATATTTGCAATGCAAGTTTACAAAAATAACACATCCTTTTACAGCCCTCTAGTAAGTATGTGTCGCACATTTAATGAGATTCCCCGTAGCAGCAAAGACGCTGCAATCAACATCTTTGATCATAAATTCTCCAGATATAAAAAGATTATAACTGACTTCTTTAAAGACCAGGTATCTTCACCTACGAAATAATCCCTTTTTATAAGTCGTAGGACTGTCCTCTGTTGTTAGTTAATCATGCTGTCTAAATGTTGGATTATTGTCTAATCTAAATTATCTAATATATTTGTCGAAGTCATGTGTTGACTTTTATCTGTAAGTGTACCTAATTTAAATTAAAAAAAAAACTTTTACGATCACCTAACTCCCTAGCCATGATTTCATCCCTAGAATACGAAGTCTTATCAATGTTATGACTGTCTTTCGTTTCATATTCATATGTCTATTCTGAAAAGAAAGGTGATTTAGTAAAGGACGATGCGATGACGATAATTATGATTTAATCAACTTGCAACTGACTCGGATATAAAACTGTTACAATCCTCTTTACTCTTTAACAGGGAAAGTTCTTTTATTTTCGGGAATTCATACAAATCGCAAGGTCCGAGGTTGGACTCTACCTTTTTATAGATATCTTTATTTCGTAATAAAATTATCATTATTTCCTTTCGAATACTTATCTCACTTTAGACTATCAGAATGGCTTTTTTCAGTATGAAGAACATAATCTGTTTTTCTTTTATGATTTCCTATCATAATATTTTAAAACTTTGGTACAATACAAAATACATGTTGATTGGAGCTCATGTTTTCAGTGTAACACGGTGCCCTAGATGTACCAGCCGAGCAAAAATATTCAAATGAGTAACCGATGTTATGTATATGTCGCAGTCAAATGGTATAATCAGCCAACCAACTGGGCGGCTAGCCCTACTATTAAATTGTATGACACCATTCTATGAAAGGACTAGCCGCCCAACTGGTTGGCTGATTATACCATTTGGCTGCGAGATATACATTGCTAAACGATATTTGAAGCTAAATAAACAGTAATACATGAAAATTGCAATCACTTACCAAAATGTCTTCCTTATAAATATATCAGGATAAAATGAAAAAAATCGACATGAATTTTTCTTCGTTTGGTCACACATATTCATTTTTTTTTTAAATTACTTCACTAACAGCCAGTTGCACAAACGTCCATTAATATTTTCATTACTTTAAAGTGACATTACCCATACAAATTTGACATTGATTAGAGTTTTAAAGCGTCATTAAACCTTAATGAACGTTTGTGCAACTGGCTGTAAATTGTACAAACTGAAGTAATGCCAAATATTTCAAGATGGGCGTCTAAAAGCTTGTCAATGCTGTATGCCAACATAATAAAAATTAATGACACATACCTTCATGTGCATTGTAACAATTTGCCCCTTGTAACACTGTTCCCACCTTACCCTACTTTATCTAATGTGGCACTTTTAAAAAATCAGTTTGTTTGTTGCGCATTCAATTTATCACTGTTAAAACAATCATGCTTTTTTGTCGTAGTCACTTACGTCCATACGGATTATTGTTCCATGATACGGGTAATTCCACAAACGCAACTCGAAATCATCTGAAAAAAAAACAAGCTAAAGCGAATTGGACTGGCGTGCCAAAAGTTCCGTAAAATCATTTCTTACATTGTAAAAACAAGAGATAGGTGATTTTATAAAAAAACATTGGAATGACACTGCGATTCTGCAAAAAATTCCCACCGAATTCGAATTTATTCAGCTGTCCGGATTCACTTCAAAAAGCGGTATCTGCTCTAT